ATTTCTGGTGAAGCCATTTGTCACCGCTTCTGTCATGGCTCATAGTAGCGTAATTATCGCGTCTCCCAAGAACTCGTTGCTGGGATTTTATCCGACCGTGAGGCCGCTCAATAGGCCCCGACTCTGCAAAAGATCATGCGAGCCGGATATTATTATCACTAAAGGATCTATGTTGACAACTCTCTGCATGCTTATTGCCATGCCTACTGATTGCCCTCTATCCAGCTTGAAGACGCTAGGAAGATCACATCTGGCCAAAAGAATGAACGGGTTTTGTAGACATAGTCCGAACTGGCCACTATTAGATACTTTGCGTTCATGATGTCGAAGAAACCATAGGCAGCAAACAGGCTATCACCCACCGGTGTATCGAGTCCTTTGTACCTCCTATCGTCACCTTCCACTGAGATCGCCCGGCGATAGTCTCTTGAAAATTCGCCAGGCGTTTGGCCAGATGGCTTAGAGAGATGCCGATACATCTTCTGGTGGTTGTTGTTGGGATTGTTCTCTGCCATAAACTTGCTTTTCAGAGAGGTTGTATCAACTCTCTCGCCCTCCGTCGGACGTTCATCAGGGATCGCGTGCTCATGGGTCCCACGGTATTGTTTTTAGGCAATCCATCGGGGTCCACGAATCCGAGTATGGTAGAAGAGCTGAGCTGCTCTTGCTCCGCCAGCAGCCAGTCCACGTCCGATATTCGACACAATCCCGACATAGTGAGGCTATTTCCCTTTATTATTCGCCTGACATCTGATCGATGTGCCAGCGTATTCATGTTCAGATTTGACGATATTTCAGCCTTGTTCTGTTCCCATGCACTGAGATCTGGTCGGTTCCAGAGTAACACACTTGTCGAATAAGCTCCATCTGAAGGCGCGTGATTGGCTGATGAGTTTTCCGCAGCAACAAGAATAGTCGCGGGCAAATTAATCGCATTCGTGGAGGGCTGGCATCTCGTTGGATTGTGATCTCCAAAGGTCTTCCAATCGGCTCTCCAATGGTTGTCTTCGAGGAGGGTGATCAGTCTCCAACCTTTCTCTTACATCCGAGCTAGGAGCAGCGGGTGTAACACTACACTCTACTGATGCCAAAGGCCCAAGATGACTGGCGGGTGGCTCCTTCATATTCTTCCTCACTCTGCCTCTGGCGGTCAAACTGGTCCGAGCCAGGGTGTCAAACAACCTGAGCTCCTCTTCTAGCTCCCCGATCTTCGTTTGAAAGGACTCGTTAATCCACCACTTTCCCTGTACTGTGTTAAAGTGTAAACCATCTCTGGTCAGCGCGAGATGCAACGTGTCTTTCAGATCCATGAGTCGCAACTCGCCAGGATTCCTGCTGACCAGGTTACGGATCATTTCATTCCATCGGGCAACGTGCCGTTCTTGAAATAGGCCACTGGTGTGCCCACCGCAGGGTTCTGTGGAACCGTGCACAAAACCACGAGCCTCTTTTTGTTATTTTCTTTCAATTCAACCAAAAATTAAATCAACAAAGTCTCACACCTGCTCTCTTGGGTAACCGGAGCCCTAGAGATAATGTTAGTACTATCATTATTGTTAGAGTATCTAACTGATCTTCGCTCTCGAACTCCATCATTTTAATCAGCTGTGCCACGGAGGCTCCTTCTAAGGAAACAGCAGTGGTCTGACCACTCGCAATAAATCTCAAGCAGTTCCATCAGCAAACTGTCTTCTGTTATCAGATGACGATTCCCACAAAGAATCGCGAGGTTCTTCCTGATTTCCACCACGCTCGACTTCGAGGTTCACTCGCTACGTGTCGGACCCGCTGGTCCAACCGCATGCGATGCTCGCTCTGAATTTCTTGAGGAGCAAGCAGTACATTGGGAAGGGACGATCCTACCCAGCGCCTGTCTCCGCTGGTTCAGTTAATTTCGTTTATCGTCGCTCTGGCTACCTGCTAAAATGTTTCTTCAGACTGAGAAGCCAGGTTCTTGTCCGAAGGGTCTGGTTTGGTATTTCTGGAGCTCGCCTCAGTATGTGAAGCTTGCAGATGAGCCACGGGTTCCCTGGAGACGCACAACTCCAGTGCCTTCGTCCTGGACTGCAAGTCCCTGGACTCTTCATAAATCAATGGTCACCAGAACTTCTGATGACGTTTGACAAACCTTCGCCATGTAAGGCTTTCAGGTGCTTGATTTATTCTTTTTTGAGAATTATCAAAAACACATTGTGTCTTTTTTTCACTGGTGTCGTTCCTGGGGTTTCGCCTTATACTCTTCCAACTTACCGTGTAACCGCTGCCAATCTTTAACCTTCTTATCCAGGATTTCGATTGTTTCCGAAGTCTGGTTCTTCATCTCGTTCAGCTTGACTTTTTGGATGGAGGAATGGCTGTTGGAGAATCCACCGAGTATAAAGAACCCGGCCCGTCACGTGATCTCTTTGCCCCAAGAAGAACTTGCGCTTAGGAGTGCGGGCGGTACCGGACTCCCCGATGGCCAGCTTTGATACTACTTCCGTGGTGTGGACAACACAGTCTTTTATTTCCATTGCATTAAGGAAAGCCACGGTAAACATAGCCAGCACTGGATCCTCTAGTCCAAAAGTGCAACCCACCGTGCGTTGATATATCTCTTGTACCTAGAGCCGTTCCTAGACTCGGTGAGATCAGGTCCATAAGATCTTTCGTGTCGCTCATATTTTCTCGTGTCGAATCTTCTCTTCAACTTCAATTCTTCCAGTTTTGAAAAACAATAAACGAATGCCTGATCAATCACAACCTAAAGAAGAAGTCACAACTTAGAACCATTGTATAGGTTAACTTATCTCCATGATAAAAGATAATTCATATATTTAAAAACCAGTCAATTGAAATTTTCTTTTTTCTTTAATCTAAAAATTAGCACCAAGGTAGATCGTTCACCTGCATTTATGTCGATCCGAATTAATTAGATGCTGTCACTCTTCACACTTGGATTTTTGCAGCTCACCATCAAATCATATTGCATAATCAAAATCATACGTTAACACAAAACATAAAAATCTCACATCAACACTACAATACAAAAATTAATACTCAATATCTATCCGAAAACCTAAACCCTAATTTTTTAAAATTAAACATAGTAGAAGGTTCTTAACCCTAAACAAAGGACTCTTAAACTAATTCATAGCGTTACCATATGCTCAGATAATATTTCTTATGCAAGTAGACTTCTATGTCCGTTTCTGAAAAAATCACTTGCACCAGAGCATGTAGCTCTTTTGGAGGTAGTTTGACCCTAAGGGGATCACAAACTGAGAAGGAGAGCAAGATCACTACGCTCTCAACCAGGAAATCCCTGAGTCGAGTTAGCCCCAGCACAATCTCTTAAAAACAAAAAATTTTCTACGAACTGAAAAAATTCTGATGCAGTGTTGAGCTGAGCTTCAAGATTGAAAATAAAAACGATGTTTTTTAGCTATAGGGGCTTGAAATTTGGACTACAGAACTGGCTATCTGTTATTTCAGACAGCATGATATGTCAGAACAGGCCGTCTCCAACAGCGCGTTGAGCTCGACCCCTGCAGCTGCTCGGGGTAGCGCAGGAGTACAAACAGGTCACCCAATCAACCATAAGTCATCGTGATAAAAGTAAGGAGCCCGTCCAGCCTCAGGTCCGCTGGTGTCTGAGTGAACGAAGTTTAATTGACCAAATGTCACATACAGTGCCACCACAAGGCCAATCGACAGCTTCCTGACGTCCTTCACAAAGCTCGCAATCAAGCTCGCCTGGAGGCTCTCGGATAGCACTTGGACAGGAAGGATAGCGACCATCCCAATTCCGTTCTTCCCAGGAATGCATCGAACCTCTAATATGCGTCCTCGTGGCCAGAACATCCTCTTGGAACTTGTCCAGTGGCATGGTATACAAACCGTGCATGAACTGCAACAGCATGCCTCCAGCCTGCTTCCTCTCGTTCTTTAGTTGTTTCAGATGGGCGTGGATCTTTTTTATCACTGCTGGGGCATGTTCAAAAGCCTTTTCTCCGAGCATGCACACTCTCGGTGACAAAAAAAGCCAAGAATTAGTGTGCAGTTTTGTAGTAAAGGCTAGTGCCATGAAGTCTTCCTCCGACAATGTCAAAACCGGCCTGACCATGCTCTCCTGCGCGTTCCTCTCAATGTCCAATTGCCTGATCTAGAGAATACACTCTACTGATGCCAAACTCCCAAGGTGACTGGCGAGTGGCTCATTCATATTCCTCCTCACTCTGCCTCTGCCGGTCGAACTGGTCCGAGCCAGGGTGTCAAATGACCTGAGCTCCTCTTCTAGCTCCCCGATCTTCGTTTGAAAGGCATCGTCATACCACCGCTTTCCCTGTACTGTGTTAAAGTGTAAACCATCTCTGGTCAGCGCGAGATGCAACGTGTCTTCTAGATCTATGAGTCGCCACTCGCCTGGATTGCTGCTGACCAAGTTATGGATCATTTCATTCCATCGGGCAACGTGCCGTTCTCGAAGTAGGCCACTGGTGTGCCCACCGCAGGGTTCTGTGGGACCGTGCACAAAACCACGAGCCTCTATTTGTTATTTTCTTTCAATTCAATCAAAAATTAAATCAACAAAAGCTCACACCTGCTCTCCGGAGTAACCGGAGCCCTAGAGATATCGTTAGTACTATCATTATTGTTAGAGTATCTAACTGATCTTCGCTCTCGAACTCCATCATTTTAATCAGCTGTGCCACGGAGGCTCCTTCTAAGGAAACAGCAGTGGTCTGACCACTCGCAATAAATTTCAAGCAGTTCGATCAGCAAACTGTCCTCTATTATCAGATGACGATTCTCACAAAGAATCGCGAGGTTCTTCCTGATGTCCACCACGCTCGACTTCCACGTTCACTCGCCACGTGTCGGACCCGCTGGTACAACCGCATGCGATGCTCGCTCTGAATTTCTTGAAGAGCAAACAATACATTGGGAAGGGACAACCCTACCCAGCGTCTGTCTCCGCTGGTTCGGTTAATTTCATTTATCGTCGCTCTGGCTACCTGCTAAAATGTTTCTTCAGACTGAGAAGCCAGGTTCTTGTCCGAAGAGTCTGGTTTGGTATTTCTGGAGCTCGCCTCAGGCTGTGAAGCTTGCAGAAGGGCCACGGGTTCCCTGGAGACGCACAACTCCAGTGCCTTCGTCCTGGACTGCAAGTCCCTGGACTCTTCATAAATCATTGTCACCAGAACTTCTGATGACGTTTGACAAACCTTCGCCATGTAAGGCTTTCAGGTGCTTGATTTCTTCTTTTTTGAGAATTATCAAAAACACATTGTGTCTTTTTTTTCACTGGTGTCGTTCCTGGGGTTTCGCCTTATACTCTTCCAACTTAGCGTGTAACTGCTGCCAATCTTTATCCTTCTTATCCAGGATTTCGATTGTTTCCGAAGTTTGATTCTCCATCTCGTTCAGCTTGATCTTTTTGGATGGAGGAATGGCTGTTGGAGAGTCCGCCGAGTATAAAGGACCCGGCCCATCACGTGATATCTTTGCCCCAAGAAGAACTTGCGCTTAGGAGTGCGGGCGGTACCGGACTCCCCGATGGCCAGCTTTGATACTACTTCCGTGGTGTGGACAACACAGTCTTTTCTTCCCATTGCATTAAGGAGCGCGACGGTAAACATAGCCAGCACTGGATCCTCTAGTCCAAAAGTGCAACCCACCATGCGTTGATATATCTCGTACCAAGAGCTGTTCCTAGACTCGGTGAGATCAGGTCCATAAGATCTTTCGTGTCGCTCATAATTTCTCGTGTCGATTCTTGTCCTCATTTTCAATTCTTCCAGTTTTGAAATACAATAAACGAATATCTGATCAATCACAACCTAAAGAAGAAGTCACAACTTAGAACCATTGTATAGGTCAATTTATCTCCATGATAAAACATAATTCATGTATTTTGAAACCGGTCAATTGATTTTTTTTTAATCTAAACGATAGCACCAAGGTAGATCGTTCACCTGCATTTATGTCGATCTGAAATAACTAGATGCTGTCACTCTTCACACTTGGATTTTTCCAGGCCACCATCAAATCATATCGCATAATCATAATCATACGTTTAAACAAAACATAAAAATCGCACATCAACACTACAATACAAAATTTAATACTCAATATCTATCCTAAAACCTAAACCCTAATATTTTCAAAATTAAACAAAGAAGAAGTTTCATAATCCTAACAATGGGACTCTTAACCTAATTCATAGCGTTACCAAATGCTCAGATAATATTTCTTATGCAAGTAAACTTCTATGTCCGTTTCTGAAAAAATCACTTGCACCAGAGCCTGTAGCTCTTTTGGAGGTAGTTTGACCCTAAAGGGATCACAAACTGAGAAGGAGAACAAGACCACTACGCTCTCAACCAGGAAATCTCTGAGTCGAGTTAGCCCCAGCACAATCTCTTAAAAAAACAAATTTTTTTTATTTTAAACATGTATGCAAGAGACTGTTGTGAAAAATTTGCAGATTACAAAGTTTTTTTTGAGCATTTCAAGGAGTGTGCAAACATTTTTATGACCTTTTTTTGTAAGATGCAAGCTTTTCCTGGTTTATCACAAATATATACAAAATCCTATAATTTATAAAACTGTATACAAAAATGTTCCCTATCTTAATTAATAGTTTTTCTAATAATTTTGACCAACATTTATGCTAAAATGGGGTCTCCCAGTGAAAAAAAAGAACAATGTAAAAGTTTTGGTAAAAAATGTAATGATGTTTTATCATGTGTTCAAAAAAGTACTGATTTCATTGCCGGTAGCTTATTCGATAGTTCGCTCACAGAAGACTTTGATTCAGAGAACCCCTCATCCCGTCCGATTAAAACTGAATTCTCGAAAATTTGTACTTCTTCCCACGGAGAAGTCAAGAACCTCTTACTAGTCCATCCCAGCGTGTTCTGCAATCCGCGACCTCATTCATAGTTGATTCTCAGTGATGAGAGCTCGATGCATATGATGCTCGTTAAAATCACTTCTCATGATTTCGACCATGTGCCACACTTGAATTGTGAAATCCATTCGAGCCAAGATAATCCCATCCCAGAGACCGACTCGAGCACCCTGAATGTTATCTTTTCGCTGTAAGTTAACTTGGCGGCCAAATACGTAGGGTTGAAAACTGCACAGAGAAAATCAATTTTTGCAAAAAAAAGAAATCATGAAAGAGACTGATTAAAATCAAGAAAAATGACAGAATAAGAGCTGAGAGTGCAAGTATTTGAAAATAGTTTATATTAAAATTGAGATGATTGACCGAAGAGTGAGGGGCATCATCGTTTCAAAAGTGCGCATTTAACCAATCAAAATAGCTTTTCCTTAACTGACCTGGGTCGTGTCCGATCAGATTTCAGCTTGCATCCATGAAAATTTTATAAAAAGTCGTATCCAATCAAAAACAAAGTTCCCTTTAAATTTTTCTTTCAATTTTTTGATTCCAATCACAAAAAAATTGCCCTTTCATTGAAATCGCCAGTTTTTTTAAAAAAAAACACAGAGAAAAAAATTAACAAGTAACCTTTCTGATACTTTTTTCATCAAGTCAATTCGATTTTTTGTTGATGATCATTGAGAAATTTCTGATCTTTGAGAAGATACCCAAGTTCAGGAAATCACATGAAGATACTCAAATCCGGGCAATCTTATTCTAAAGCTAACAATACAAGATTTTTAAATTTATAACTCTTTTAAAATGTGAAAAAAACAAAGAACTATGCTGAGAAATTTTGCGAGAAGAGGTTTTTGGGTAAGAAATAAAAAGAGTCTCTGATAATTTTTTGTACAACTTTTTAATCAGCTTCAATATAATATAATATAATATAATATAATATAATATAATATAATGTAAAATAAAACAAACCATGAAACTTTATCAATTTGAAACCTTCTCAATTTTTTTCCCTATCTCAAATAATCAATATTTCTATACCCAATGTTAATAAAAAGCCTGCTGAACGGCTGTTCTATTCCCCATCTCAAAACATGGGTGTCAGTAGGTAGAAATGCAAATTTTTAAAGTAGAAAAGTTGAGAAGAAAACATCTTTTCATGACGAGCCTTTAATTGTTGTTTTCATCACCCTGAACAAGGCTAATCAACGAATGTTCGCAATTAAATCGAAAAATTTTCTGAAGTGTTTTTGATTCATTGATAAGTCAAGCAATCAAAATAGATACTTTTTCTTTGTACTTAGCGTTGAGCAAAGAAATAGTAACGACTGTATGACAGCTGAGCCAAAAAACATCAAAATAATTGGGTGCAGGAAAATTGTTTCGACTAAGATCATATGCCAGGCGAGAGCTTCGAGTCCCTACTAGGTATTTGGTGTGTCATACCAAAAGTAATCGATAACAAAACGCCGGCTTTTTAAAGTGGATTGGAGTGAAACTGAATTGGTTTGTTAGAGAAAACCAAATGTACTGTACCTTCAAAAAAATGGCAACGCGAAGTTCCAGCAGCAAAAAAGACAATAGTTTGAAAAAAAAACAATAAGCTTCAGAACAGAAACCTGTGTGAAATTGTTAACGAAGGACTTTGCCTTGCTGTCAATCAAAACAAGACTCATTGCGTTTTTCTTATATCAATGATAAATCATGATAATCAATAATCAAATTTCAGTTATCGAGGTTTAGATGCAATAAAAAATTTGAACTAATTAATTTTGAAAAATTCTAGGGTGTCAATCTTAGTAAATCCAAAACGTGTAATGTCTAATAACTTTCTCTTCTAGTCATTTTTTTCGTTTTGACTTAACTTTCAATTGCACTGTAAAAATATTATTTCTCGTTATTAAGTTGTAATAGCGAACAAGTAAAAATTCTGTTACTCAACTTAACTCATTTTAATTCTGTTACTCAACTTAACTCATTTTAATTCTGTTACTCAACTTAACTCATTTTAATTCTGTTACTCAACTTAACTCATTTTAATTCTGTTACTCAACTTAACTCATTTTAATTCTGTTACTCAACTTAACTCATTTTAATTCTGTTACTCAACTTAGAGTTACTCAACTTGATGCTGAATTTTGAAACTTGAAAAAGTAACTTTCAATCAAATAATTGTTTGTAACTGTTCATTACTGATTTATGCACAAAGACAAATCAGTTTTTTCCAAAGAAACTTTGAAGAAATTGTTTGTTAAGGCAATATTGTGTTTGTCTCAATCAACAGCCAGCAGGTGAAATTTTGGGCGAGCTTTTGTCCAAGTAAAAATTGTTATTGTTCTTAGTTTTTCCACTAAAAAAATTCGAAAATAACTTTGTATCCTCTAGAATTGATTTGTTTTTAGCTTCTCTCACTTGAAAAAATAGTTCAGATAATGCCAAGTATGGGGCAACCAGATAAAGACATGTGGTTATCTAATTTCTTTTACGTATTTTTGTAAAAACTTAATTTAAAAGTAAATACTTTTCTTTTTAAAATAAAAGCTTCTTGGATAATTGATGTTAGTTTTCTCACTCAAACCTTAGGTTTTCAAACCGTAACTTGAAATGGCTTAAGAATTTGAAGACTTGTTCTATTCTAAGTAACTGATACTCAAATTTGGAGACAAATTTAAATCATAGATAGCATCTTTATAACCGATATTTGCCCTCTGATTTGTGACATATGGAAAAAAAGTGGACAAAAATAACACAATACTTGGCTTGACCAAAATGCAAGTTATATAAATTTCATAATAAAAAAATGCTAGTCATATACTTTTCAGTTTCATGAGTATAGATGGTTGCACGAAATGTCTATGATTATTGATTTTTCACATCTAGAAATCGATTAACTAAAATTTTTCAAAAAATAAGAAAAGCTTTTTCATTGTTATTTTTTTGCGGAAAAATTTTGTTTTTAATTGTAATTGAACACAAATGACAATAACCCTTGCTACTCAAAGCTGCAGTGACCAAATTTCCAGCTATCTTAACTGCATATCTTTATTGGAAACTACCTAAATGAAGATGTTTTACACACACTGTATAAGGAAAGTGGTACTTGCCCAAGGCATACAAACATATGCAAGACAAACAAATTATCTTTTTGAGCGTTTTTAAAATTATATTTGGAAAAACTGTAAAAGCCCTTATTTTTGTGTATGCAGGACCACGTTATGAACCCAAAAAATTAAAGTACAAAACGTACAATGTTTTGAGGGGTACTTTTGAAACTATTTCATTACCTTTTTGATGCCACAGCCTTAAAAAATGCTAGTCACAATGATTCCAATTATGGAAACTGTTAGATTATACTTTTTGTCAAAAATTTTTTCTGTTTCGTTTATAAAGGTACGCCGAATTATATGCCAAAACAAAAAAATCTTCCAAAACTCGATAACACAATTTTCTCAAAATTTTATGAAAATTGTATGACTAGCATTTTTTCATAGATTTAGATCATGGAATTATTTGACACGCACTTCCAATATATGGAGATCAATCCAGCTACTCTGTATAAAAACAGATTCAAAGCATTATCTGGCAAAATTCACGAGAGTTTTTAGATCCAAGACCTGCTAATTAACAAAGCGAAAATCAACTAAAATTGAAAACTTTTAGTAAATCACTTAAGTTTCTTGAGGCTCTCAACTTTAACTATGAAAAACTTAAACTTTTGACCAATCCCACTGATAATCTGAAATAATCACAAAAAAACGGTTCTTATGCACTAAACGGCCCAAAATCATTGTTTCTACATCTCTTGAACTGAATTTAATGTAGTTTTATTAAATTTTTCTTGCCTGGGCAAGGTTTTACAAATAACTCAAAATTGATTCGATTATTTAACAAAGTTCCATCTTTTCGGCTAATATCTTTATCTGCTGGAAAGCCTGATCGGAATGCCTGACCGTGTAACTTGAATTTTATTGGCTAAATTGACCCAATCAAACTCGATAGCATAATTTCCAGCTTAGGATGTAGAAAATTTGATGTTGGGCCGTTTAGTGCATAGGACCAAAAAAAAACGAAGCATTAACCAGATGACATTTCAGAATCAAAAAGATCTTCTTGAACAAAATAAATTAAATCTGAAACTATAATCTCATTAATTTAAAAATTGTTCTTTTTTTGCTTTAAGTAAAATGACATACATAAATGAAGTATTTCGTGCAGGTTGAATTTTTATAAATCGGCTGTGATTTAGTTCATCAAGAAATAAAACTATTCGCAACACAATTGGGCTTAAGATAAACTAGCAGTGGTAGGCCTACAAATCGAAGGGCCATTAAACTGAACTAAGATCTCCATTGAAACAAGGCGTCAATTATTATTGTTATGCTAACATAACTACAGATTGTCAGTGTTGTTTTAAAATTCTTAACAAACTCTGATGTAATTTACATAATTCTGATCTAGTTTCAGCTTCAAGATATGGCGGTTTGTAGATATGGTGGTTTGATGATTATCCGCCGAATTAGCATTGAGTTGGTTAGAATAATGGTTAAAATAGCATAGATTAAATTAAAAAATTAGAGTGAAATAGCACACACTAAATAAAAAATAGGGTGAAACAGCATAGAGCAATTTGGTAGAGATTAAAATGAAATATATTAATATGTCGTGCTACCAATTATTACTGTGCAATTCAAAATTTGACTGATTTAGAAAATAATTTCATGACATTTTTACGGCCACATGCTAACCGAAATCTAACTCCGAAATACCGAATAACGGAAATACTCAAAAACATTTTTGAAATTTCCTAAATAAATAAGATTGCTCCAGCTTCATCTCAAAAAAACTTCCTACCCGTGACCTCAGTAACCGCAAATTGAGAAGTCGTTACTACTGGCATGGCTTCAGTGAAACTTTATCTGAAAATAAAACGTGCTTGAGTTAGTTTCTTCCCTTCAATGTCGTTCAACTAAATACGAAGAAACGCTCTTTAATTGTGAGTAGTTACAGCTACATAGAGTGCAATTAGCGAGATTAAATTTTCAGTTCAACAAAGAAAACATTTGGTTAAATGAGGTTCAATTGAACTCTTCCATCGGGACCAAATGATTTTTTTGTGGGGGGGGGGGGTTATTTGTTTGATTTTGGGGTAGGGGGAGAGATTATTCGTTTAAACAAAGAGAAATTGTTCAAATTATTACTTGTCTTTTATTTGTTTGAGGGAGTGGGCGGGATAATTCACTTGATCGATGAGGGGGAGGGGGAATAGTTCACTTGATCGATGAGGGGGAGGGGGGATAGTTCACTTGATCGATGAGGGGGAGGGGGGATAGTTCACTTGATCGATGAGGGGGAGGGGGGATAGTTCACTTGGTCGATGAGGGGGAGGGGGGATAGTTCACTTGGTCGATGAGGGGGAGGGGGGATAGTTCACTTGATCGATGAGGGGGAGGGGGGATAGTTCACTTGGTCGATGAGGGGGAGGGGGGATAGTTCACTTGATCGATGAGGGGGAGGGGGGATAGTTCACTTGGTCGATGAGGGGGAGGGGGGATAGTTCACTTGATCGATGAGGGGGAGGGGGGATAGTTCACTTGATCGATGAGGGGGAGGGGGGATAGTTCACTTGGTCGATGAGGGGGAGGGGGGATAGTTCACTTGATCGATGAGGGGGAGGGGGGATAGTTCACTTGGTCGATGAGGGGGAGGTGGGATAGTTCACTTGGTCGATGAGGGGGAGGGGGGATAGTTCACTTGATCGATGAGGGGGAGGGGGGATAGTTCACTTGATCGATGAGGGGGAGGGGGGATAGTTCACTTGGTCGATGAGGGGGAGGGGGGATAGTTCACTTGGTCGATGAGGGGGAGGGGGGATAGTTCACTTGATCGATGAGGGGGAGGGGGGATAGTTCACTTGGTCGATGAGGGGAAGGGGGATAGTTCACTTGATCGATGAGGGGGAGGGGGGATAGTTCACTTGATCGATGAGGGGGAGGGGGGATAGTTCACTTGGTCGATGAGGGGGAGGGGGGATAGTTCACTTAATCGATGAGGGGGAGGGGGGATAGTTCACTTGATCGATGAGGGGGAGGGGGGATAGTTCACTTGATCGATGAGGGGGAGGGGGGATAGTTCACTTGGTCGATGAGGGGGAGGGGGGATAGTTCACTTGGTCGGTGAGGGGGAGGGGGGATAGTTCACTTGGTCGATGAGGGGGAGGGGGGATAGTTCACTTGGTCGGTGAGGGGGAGGGGGGATAGTTCACTTGGTCGATGAGGGGGAGGGGGATAGTTCACTTGGTCGGTGAGGGGGAGGGGGGATAGTTCACTTGATCGGTGAGGGGGAGGGGGGATAGTTCACTTGGTCGGTGAGGGGGAGGGGGGATAGTTCACTTGGTCGATGAGGGGGAGGGGGGATAATTCACTTGGTCGGTGAGGGGAGGGGGGATAGTTCACTTGGTCGGTGAGGGGGCGGGTGCTTGGAGGAGATTGTTCACTTGGCTTTCCATTGATTTGCACATCTTCTGGTATCAACTCCTCTCGGTCGTCAGTGGTTTGCTCGGAGGAGTACTCAGCAGGGGGGAGGGTCGTTGCATTGAAGTCGACGCTGTTCTGTTTGTTACCAACCTCGATGTCAACCGACTTGCTGGCGGCGGAGAAGTCAACACGAATTCCAGGAGGGTTTTGTCGTGACGAAGCTTTCGATCTGTTAACAGTTAAGTGGCTTTTATAGAGAAACCAGTTTTAAAAAACTCATGTTTTGTTGCCAGATGTTTTTATTCTCGACCGACACCTAAGCAATTTAACTTGTAAGCCGAAATGCAACTTATCAGGATTTGGCTCTTCAGGATAAGGGAAAAGTCTGTTAGTTTCAGGCTTGATCAAACATTTGCCTTAGCTTTATAATTGTTGCTTTTCTAAGCCAATGTTTTACAACGTGGTCTTCGATTTCTCATTCAGCGCACGAAATAACAAAACTATCGATTTTTTTTCCTGAGAATTTGAATCATTAAAATATTTCTAGAGACTTATTCTGGAAAATAACGGTTTCGTGAGAAAAATTATGTCGGATATTTTGTTGACTAATTGTGCAATCTGCGACTGTGCAATCTAGTTGAAAATCAAACATTTTTTGATACAAAAAAACTGCTCGTATATGTTCGACTGCGTTTTTAGGCCAATTTAATCACTTCAATTTTAATTGATAAAAACAATGAAAGAACAGCAAATTTTTGGATCAAGTTAACATCCTCCCCTAGATAGACCAAGTTAAGATCTTCCACCCCAGCGATTAGTTAGATTAAACTTGCTAAGCGCTACATGTAAAATGCTCCATTCTGATTGGCTGTTCTAACTTAGAACCAAGTTAACCTAACCATGTTAACTTGGTCCAAAAGAGATTTTAAAAAATGGGTGGTGCTGAATTTTGCTTTGAGTAGGACGTTCGATTTATGTGTCAAATTTCTCCGTACATATTTTTTACCACTATTCTGCAAAACTTTCAGATTTAACAAAACAGGAAGCATGTTCATGTATAAGCAAAAAATGCATTGTAAACTAGACTTGATTTTTTTTGCTGAAATTTATTACATTTCAAGCTTTCAATAGGGCAAAAAGATAAGAATATTTGCAATTTGCAAATATTCTTATCTTTTTGCCCTATTGGGAGTTTCGGTCGATCTTGATATCTTGGTCGGAAACTGCAAAATTGGTTAACTATGAACTGGATAAGCTACTCGCTCATAGTTTTCGCTTAGCTTGAAATGTAATAAATTTCAGCAAAAAAAAATCAAGCCTAATTTGTAATGCATTTTTTGCTGATAGTTGTGTAGCTAATGTTTAAATTGGGGAAACTATTGATATTGATTGCAAAATTTTAGAGTAAGCTAATTTTACCTCGACGCTTTGATTTCTCTCCCGACAAAAAGAAAGATGACCACTACAACAACAGGTACTCCGATGCCAACAACAACCAACAGCCAGTGGTTGAATTTGCCTTCATTGTCATCTTCGTTAATTGGATATTGGTAAATGTCCTCGCCAATATACTTCGAAGCAACAGGTTCTACTAAATGAGTAAAAAAAGCTTAATTATCGATAAAAATTTTCTCACAATTATTTAACGACTTGAAAGTTTCAGCAATGCCAACAATTTTTCTGATGTTGAAATTTTGATATATGAATGATATTTGATCTTCGAAAAATTTCAGTGTTTTTTAGCAATTTAATTGGCTGATACAAAATTCTGGAAAATTCTTGTTTTTTTTTACAAATATATGTAGCTCTTCTGGCAAATTACTTTTACTTAGGTTTTAAAAGGGCAAAAGTTGGAAATTAATTGTCGGAAACATAATGATGTCGACTGTATGGCTATTCACACCCAAACTTTTATCGAAATTTCAAATTCTTCACCTACGCTTACATCGTTCAACGAAACCTCAAACATTTCAGGCTACTGGTCAGACTATCAAGAAACAGCGAGGCTTGATAAAAAAAACAACAAGAACAAGGAGGTTAAATTTGCAAGATTGTTTTAGTGAACAGATAAGTATAAAAAATATATTTTCGAGAAAAAATGTTATTTAATCTTTGTATTTCAAAAATTTTTGAAAATTTTTACTATGAAACTTCTGTGCAGTTTAGAGAAAAAACTTCGAAAAAGAACTGCAAACTTACACAATGAGCTTGTTTTGCCAAAAAACTCTTATAAGAAAAAAAAAACGTACGCCAAAGTTGTCATCTGCAGTGGAGTGGAACGAAATCAAATTCGTCACGAAAAAAAAAGAAACACATCGAACGACTTCAAAAAAAGCTTTAAAAACCTCTGTATTGAAAACAGATTGGAACTCTAATAAAAATTTGAGTTCAAGGTTAATTTGTTTGTTCCATATTTCAGCAAACAATTGAGTAATTCTTTTGAAATTTAATTTTAAGGTTTTTTCTACTGATATACTGATAAATTCAGTTTAAAAAATCGAAATTGCAAAATAATAGATATCACAATTAATAAAAACAATGTTTTGTAAGAATTCATATGGTCGAAGGCAAAATTTTTCACCAGTAGCATTTATAAGCATGCAATTAAGATGTCGTGATCAAAAATATTTGCAAGTTCAATGGTTTTATGGTAATTCTAACACGAAATTTTTACAATAAAAACACGTAGAAGATGCCTGATTTTGTTCATTAATTTTATTTGATTTTCAATAAGTCGAAAACCTCGATTAACACTTTCAAGTGTTTTTTTTGTTGGTATTACATTCTTGTGTTTTTCGTTAGTTGAATTGATGTTATCCTTGTAGGCACAATAAGTTTTATTAATCAAGCATACTATTTCTGTTCCAGTCCATTCCCATTTTGAGAAATCAGTGTTCTACTATCAAATAATTTATGTATATCGCAAAAAATACACGCTAAGAAAGTGAATATTTCATCTGGTAGATAACTTTGATTATCACAATTTTTTTGCAGCAAATTAAAATGAAAATCTTCTCAGTCAGCTATCATACACTCAATAGTTGTTGAACCTATTAACGCTAAAAAGAAAGACTTTGTATCAATTTCAATAGCCCTGCAGGTTAGAACACGTAAAATTTATCCAAGTACACTGTTTTTAATTTTTACGTTTGTTGTTTCGCATTTATCATTTTGCGCGGTTGTATCGTATGAACACATGAGAAATACTAACAACAAGACCATGCCTCAGACACGAGTTTATAAAGTCGGTAAGGAGCAGAAGACTTTTGCCAGACTAGCTAGCTAACCAAAGGAAAAGATTCTGTTTGAGAGAGCAAAATGTTTCATATGTTCATCAAAACCGGTCGATTTTCAATTGTGTTTTGATTATTGACGATCAGTCTTCAAATGAATCTTCCAGGTCCTCTGGAACGTGAACATCGAACAATGATAGATCATGTATCTCTTCTTTAAAACGCAAGTGTACAAGCTCTTGTTTCGATAACGTTGCGTTGTTCATACTGCTTTTCAAATGAAAAATCACCCTCTCATATCTAAACAATTGAGCAACCTGTAAAAGTTGTAATAAAAATCTTTAATTAAAGGTTTAACAGTTTTTTTCGAAAGAATAATTTAGTGATAAAGCTTAAATTTTTAAAAATAAAAAATGTATGTTCTGTTTATCTGATTGTAATTTTGATTTTGGAATGAAAATTGAGACCAAATTAAAAATGGCAGCAAAAAACTGATAGCCAGCACAATTAGGTGAAACATTGAGGATGCTTCGAAAGTTGCATTCTCTATTAAGACTTTACACTCACTATTTCCAATTGCGATGTTATTTTGAACAATGACGTTGTCCTAACTTCTAACAATTGTCAAAAATCGTTTCTTGAGACGGAGCTGTCTCATACCGAGGGCTGCGTGAAAACTAAACAAGCTACTCAAGGTTTCTTCAATGATTTAGGTTCTTCGTTGTTTGATAATGTCAACATAACTAAGACAGTCATTAATGGTGGGAAAAAAATCTCAACGCCGTACTTTTCATGGAAAGTTTTTGTTGTTTTTTTTTGCCACGGATCAGTTATTTGTCCCTAATAGCTAAGTAAAATACGACTACTTCGTTTGAAACCAGAATTTGATCTGGCAACTCAAGTTGCTAATTCAAAATGTTTGGTTCGAATAAGACGCCTGTCAATTTTGCGAGATACTATTCGGTGTCTGACTCTGTACACTCTTCAATTCAAGAAGGATTAATGAAGTGGCCTGCTAGATACACTTATAGCGAAGCGAAAAGCAGAAAATTTGTAATACCTATGGGTCGGAATCAATTTGGTCGTGAAGATGTACTCATTTTGGGGCCTATACGACGGCTGGTAGTTACCATCTACCTAATGCTATGTTCAGTGGTCAATTAGAACACTATTTATTTTTTGAAACACTGTTTAAACTCAATATGAAATGTTTGAAGTGGTACTGCCATCATAGTCTATGGCACAACTCATAACCAGTAAACCTACTTTAAAACAACTCAAAGTCTCCTCTTTAAACAAGATGTTCCTCCTCTAACGCTTGAAAATTATCACACTTACTCCTTTTTGGTACTTGATGTCACGTTAACTCAACAGTCTAATCTTTCTCTTTTTTCGCTGGAATAGTTGATGTTTAAGATTTGAACTTGAGTTTTCGCGAAAGACCTATTGAAATGTTGGGTAGACGAGAGCGATTGTACGAGAATTTTTGTCAATTAATCAAAACGGCGAAATTTTGAAAACTGGATAGTTATTCTCCGAAAAGAAGCCTTGACGGAATTCCTCGGTTGAAATTCAACAAATGTCAAATAGCCAACATAACCAAACCTGCACCAGAAGGTCATTAGATAATGGTTACGAGAAAAAAAAACAAGTTTACTATGGTGATTCTTGTCGAAATCGAATATGCATATATCCCAAAATCTTATCTCGTCTGGCAGATGCTGACTTAGAACACAAACGACTATGTCATTCAGTAAAACCGAAATTCCAGTAAACTTTTGTTTCAGTTTTCTTGAAGCTTTTTGATAAGACTAATCATTTATGAGTAAAAAACAGTTTAGAACTATTACGTAAGCTAAATTCATTTTTGTGAAACAATGTATCAATTGAAACTTACTTTATTTAGAAATTTACAAAAACAAATTTTTTTTCAAAAAAATTAAACTGAGATTTTGCGAAAATGTAGACTTTATCTTACAATTCCAACACCTAAAAAACATGAGCGCTCGTTGCTTATCCCAAAAGTCTATCTGAATGCTGTGAAAATCTCTCGTTAAGACTTTTCTATATTGGAGTTCTGTTGAAAATTTCGAACCAATAATCTGTACTGAGATCAACGCATCGTTTGTCAAACGCTGGCGTTTGCGAAAGCTCGTAGTAGTTGTGATTTAGCATCACCAACAAAACCATGTTCCAAATTGTTTGATTATACCAAAAAGCACAAATTTTATCAATGTCAGAGGGATGAGATGGCTCACTTAATTCCCAGAAAAAAGCCGCGCTTCAGATTCTAGACCTACCATTTGACATAAATGAAACGATTCTGTTGAGAAAATTAGCTGCGCATCTTCCTTTCATTCTTTTCTTAATAGGTGTTTCTATTGTTACTGCCATCTCGTTAAATTCAAGCGTTGAAGTTTGTTCCATGAAAAAAAAATCAACAGCCTTGTTCTTTGTATCCACAATACTTTCTACACTTGGATACAATAGAGTCTAGAGTCTTTTTACCCTTTCAGTTCTTAGCTAGAGCAATAACTGGAACTATCTAATAAAATGAAATCAATTAGTTCAATTGATATCATTCTGGTAAAACTATTTTACCATTGAAGTTCACTCTTTGAAATATTTTTTCAAGATTTGAAAGGAAAAATACAACGATTTTGTTTAAAAAAACGGGGCTTTTTAATTTTAGGATATCTCGACATAATAGAATTGCTCAATTTGTTGAAAAGTTTTTCAGATTGAACAAGAGTGTTTTCATTTGGACTCAAATCTCAAGCTATGCAATTCAAGTTACATGCACTTTGTGCATTCTATTTCCATTGTGTATATGGAATTATAACATGTCTGACTTTGCCAAATTTTGTTTATATAAAATGCTCAGACGCTTAAGCTAGTCAGAGTTTTATTATGAAACATACTTGAGTACAATTTATGCGTTTTAGCTTACCTCCACTGAAACTTTTCAATAACCAATAATTTTAAATTAATTATAATAATATTTTTGAGCTTTTAATATCGATACATGTGTATGAAAGTTCTGGAACCATCTAAAGCAATTATTGACCAATTTGAAAAATTCTAGAACAATATAGAACGTTTTGCTCCCGCTCTTTTCCGCACCCAAGCTCATCCCTTCTTGTGGGGGTAAACTTATTTTACTGCCTCCTACTTTTTTCCCCATTTTTATGTCAAAATCTTCTTTATTTTTTTTTTAAATTACCATAATTTTGAACATTATTCTTTTTTTTGCATTCATTACATTTTGTTCAGACAAATTAAACATTATCTAAAAATATTCAAGCAAAAAACCTCATGTGTTTTGAGTAAATACTTATAATTGAATGTAATTTCAGCCCTCTTTCCAATACTGTTGTTATGATATTCTGATCAGTTGTAAATATTGTTCAAAGTTACAAAATCCAGTCATTACAATTTTCTCTGCCAGCTGTTGTCATATACCACCCAAACCTCTACTTCTTGTCAAGACATCTTGAATCGGAGTGGCTTTTACAAAATCTAGCTTTTTGCCAAATATGATTAGCAGAAAAGTGAGAAAGCTGCTTCAGCAACATTTTCCTGGGACCCAATTTGATCTCAGTTCGAGAATTATGAATCGAGCAAAAATTTGTGTGGGTGCTTGCGGGGCAATCAACAATTCGCTCGAAATATTTTCAGTCAATACTCAAATGTCGAAAGTTGAAGTTTTGGTGAGCTAAAACAGTTTTGGTGAATTCAAAATGAATTCTGTTTCAGTAACCATTAAGTTGTAAAGTCAAGTGTGAGTTTTTGAATCTCTTCAGAATTTGACAAATGAAGCTCAAAACTTCTGGTTTGTTTTCCGTTTGGTTTTGTAACACAGTTTGTTTGGAGAAAACCTCTTTTTGTATACACTGAATTTATAAGGAACAAAAACAGCCAAGACTGCTTATATATTAACTATGTACTAAGTTTGCAGAAGGAAGGTTTTCGTTTTTCCGACTCTGGTTTGTGATTCTTAAAAGATAGAGTACTGTTTAAAAAGAAATTCCTGCCAGCATTCACCTCTGAGCCGATGTAGAAAAAAAAGTAGCTTGGGAAAACGTTAAGATGGCAAGGGCGCCATAGTTGATTGAAGAAAAATTGCGTTGTACAGACAGTATATAAAACAAAAACCCTACCCTGCTAGTCGTAAATGCGTGTCGCAAGTCGTGGTGTCAGTTCTGACTGCCTTTTAAGGTATATGGAGCAGTAATAACATTTAAAAAAAATTAGATGTAATAAAAGAAAACGAGAAAAAAAACATTTTTTTTAGAAATTCTTTACCCACACACCATAGTAGAAAACGATAGAATTCTTCAAAGTAGAAAGTGTCAGTTTCAATAACCTTCGAATCCAAACGGACTGATAAACCGTGTAGACCTAACTTTGCTCTAAACTCAGTGAAGAGAAAAACGTTTTTGAACGTAATAACATTTCGCTCCTCAAATCAGACATTTCACCCCGGGTCGAGTTCCGCCGCGACTCATGTTGCGACCAAAATGGATAGCCGAAATGAACTTTCTGCGACCGAAATTCCTTCATCCCGCAGGAGGCTTGAGTCGCGCAAAGTCGCAACACACCCAAATGGCGTCGCAATGTTCGCAACATAAGTCCCCGACCTCGACCTCGACCCGGGTCATAAATACTCACCAGCGAACAGAGGAGACTCGCGAGCAGTTGTGAAAACAGTTTCGACACTTCGGGTTGAATACTCTTTGTTATCAGCCTCACATGTAGCGTAGTAAGACACATAGTAGTGGCATGCCGCTTCCAGATAATGAAATTTCACGGTGTGAGACTTTGAGTCATCGTAGTCATAGTAGTCAGTGTAGATTTTGTGATGGGTTGATTTGTCGTCCGCACACGATCCTAGTTACGGAAGCAGGGCTTTAGTTTACAATGTCACCTCATAACAGCATCGTGAAAAAATAACGCTCAAAAAAGAGTAAGGTCAACCCTTGAACAATTCAAATAACCTTAAATCAAATGCATTAATCATTATAATCGGATCAAATTTATCAAAAACTTCAGTAAAAACAATCTTTTGCCAATAATTGAATTCCTTTATCAGTTTTTATTTCTTTACGAGTGTGACTTTTAACCAAGAAACCAAGAACATTTTGGTCTTTGGTTTCTCTTTTCTCAATAAAAATAACAACACTGCTCGTATCAGGGCGAATCAAGCCCTGAATGTTTCGACTGCCTTTAAGGTTTATGGAGCAGTAATAACATAAACAAAAAAAACTAAATGAAATAAAATGAAATGAACATCAATTTTTATTTTGTAAAATTTGAAATTTTTTCTATGAAAATTATCCCCCCACACGCCATATAAAGTACAAAACAATAAATTTCGCTTCTAGTAACAAATCAATTATGGCAAATAAGCTTCGTTCAACCAACTTGGAACAATTTCTAAGACGGATTATATCTCCGCTTACACTTTAATAGCGCGGATTATATCGTGCGTTAATTGTCCCAAATTGGCTAAGATGGCAATCTTTAAACCCCAAAAATTTTACGGAAAAAGATCACAGGTAAAATATCTTTTCAAATTTAAGCTCAGGACAAAAATACCCTTTGAATGATATAAAAAAAAATTCCGTCAAAAATGGCTAGTTAAAAAGTCGAAATTTGACTGAAGAAAAAAAAAACCCACCCCGAGCACAAATATTCCGTTACTTTCGTATCGAAAGTCGGAACAAAAATATCATTGTTCGGATTTTTTAACAGATTACTTTTACATTAGGCTGGCCAAAAATGTGAAAAATTAAAATTGTTAGCCTGAATCTTTCAACTAAAAATTACGTATTTTCAGCTGGTAGTTGAAATTTGAAACGTTTTCGTCCTACATAAAAGGAGTATAAGGAAAAACGTTCCAACCAAAAGAGGCGAAAAATTGAAGACATTGAAAAATGAATACCTCGAAGCGTGATGTTTAGCCTACGGAAGTTGCCAGAGGTCACTCCAAATCCACTGATGGTAAGTGAAGTCGCAGTAGAGTCACTCAAGGTCAAAGAGTCAAGGACACCAGCTACTTCTAAAGACAATTTCGGAAACTTCTCGCTGATGAAAATGTTTAAACGAATATGACAGTATTAATGAGAGCACATGAATGAGGATTTCAAAAAGTATGCTTAATTTAAAGTTACTTGTGAAAAGCGATATATATATATAATTGAAAGTATTACCTAGAAAAATTAAGTTATATATATATATATATATATATATATATATATATATATATATATATATATATATATATAGAATTGAAAGTATTACCTAGAAAATTTAAGTTTTCATTGTTAAAAAAATTTATTAAAGCATATTTTTGTATTATAAGACCTAATTAGTCGCTTTTTTCGCGCGAAAATAGACTAAAACCAACAATCTCAAACCGGTTTTTCTTGAAACGGAAAACTTTCTCGAGAACGTTTTACTGTCGCTCGAAACACAACTAAAAGGGCTCGAATATGTCATATAGACGGAACCACTAAAATTATTATTTGAGTTAAAATATTTTTTGCGTGAAAAAAAGGAAAAAAAAACTACCGCAATGTCTAAACTGTTGATTGGACTTTGCATCAAAATTCACCTACTTGTGCAGACCTGGAGATATGTTTGTTCCGAGGACACTTGGATTCCACAGTCTTCAACAGGTTCCACGACAGTTTTTAATTGAATCTCGTATTTAGTTCCCGACTCTAGTCCAGAAAGCTGGGAAAACAAAGTAAATTTTCAGCAGGTTGAATGTTTCTCAAACCGTACCGAGAAAATTCTTTATTTCTGACCTGAAATATTTTGTATCTAATCTAATTTCTAGTCAGAAAATCTTTTTGAAATGTTTAAATACTTTATTTCTTATCCTAATTTTGATCAGAAATTAGCTAAATCTAAAGCTAAAAAAAGTCTCCTGGTGGGGCTCAAACCCGCGCCCTTCTGATTCCCAAGTTTTAGGAGAATAACAATGTTATACCAAGTGTAAGTTTGCATTGTATTCGCTACTGCTATTGTGTATGCTCGAAGCATGTTTATCTCGTTGCGGTTGAGCAGTTAACTGATTTCTGGTTATTTCTTTCTAGAAACTGTTTGTTTCTAAACCAGAAAAGAAATAGATCACTTCTGCACGGAAAATACGAGAAAACTAGGCTAGATAATCGACGTAGAATTTCTATCTAGAAAAACAGCTTCGTTCGGTACGGGAAGGAAACGGATACCAACATCTCATTAAGAAGAGCTGCGGATGTTTTCATTAACCTGAACTCGGGTGACTGATGGAAAATTTGGTCAAAATGTATTTTAAATCTTTCCGTTCGAATTTGCTGAGCTCGTTCAAATTACCAGAAAGATCATGTCAGGCGAAGTTTCGCGAGCTTGTCTCTAACAAAAGCATTTACTTTTGGCGATGGAGGGCCAGAAAAAAAATTTCAAGATTTTTGATCCAGAAAAAGTTTTCAAAAAATATGTTTGGGGGATATGGAAAATTTAGGCAACCCACCTCACAACGCTGCTGTTATTTTTAAATTTACCTCTAAATCAGCATTTTTGTCGGCTTCGAAGGTGTCATCCGAATAATACCTACTATTAAAGTAGGTTATCCTGTATGCGTCAAGAGGCCCGGTGATTGCCTGGACATTGGATGCTGTTCCTTTGATAGTCAGGCTCCTCAAATCGGATTCAACTTGAATTGACGATTTGTTGGGAGCTGCAGGCACTGAAAATTTAAATAATTGTTGAAGAATCTCTCCTTACGGAGTTTTGCATTCCCAAAAACTTTATTGGTCAGTTAGAATTCAGTTATCAAGAAGTCAGACAGAGAAAAAAGTTTTGCGACTTGTTGTGAGACAAAAATGTATGAATTGTGAAATAAAAGTTAGAAAAAAAAACTGCTGGGAAAACTGCAATGTATTCTTTAAATTTTTCAATAAACTTCAAACATGAATAAAACATGCGATCAGTTTATTAACTATGTGGTAAGGAATAGTATGCTATAATACTGGTGTGAAAACAATGTAGGTTTCAAGATGAAAATTTAGTCTCTGAAACTGTTTCTTTTGATTTTCTCTAAAAGCTTATAGGTCAGACGGAATTCCGCATCTGCCGTACGGAGATCTGCCTCTCATCTGAATCGCCTCAGTGATCAACACTGAACGACCTTGATATAATAACAGTATATGATTAAAGATAGCAATATGAAACTCAAGGTTAGTGTACAGCAAGGTTAACATATAATTACTGCACATGCAGTATGTGCTACACCACAATCTAAAACAGTTTAATATCATTAAGTTTGATTTGACAAACTTTAACACCGGCAACTCTAAAAAAATTAATGTGTTTTTCCTCAAAATTTTGTAACAAAATAATAAAAACTGATAGAAATTTTGGGCAAAAATCCAAGGGGCTCAAGTACCCGCGATATTACAGAGTAAATCAAAATGTGAGTTATATTGAAAATTGCCTAATTTAGAAAAGCATCCTTTGACTTAGCCATCAGAAGACTTCAGAAGACTTAGCCGACAGAAGTAATCCAAAAATCGCTGATTTTCAACTTTCGATTGTCTGAGGTATGTTAATCGACTCATAACTACCGTAGCAGGTATCAGGAAACTATGATTTTCCAAAAAAAAGTATGGCATCTGGCCAGACTCGAACCACAGACCTTTGTCGTTCCAAGCTTGTGACGAGAAAAATCAGTGACGAGAAAAAGTGGTTTTTCTAAATTTGATCACTTCACCCACAAGTGAAGCACGCGAAAAGCAAAAATTTCAAAAATAGCTGATTGGTGTCCAAGTAGCACAAATGACTTCAACCACTTTTACACAAAAACTACCAAAAGTTTTTTTATTCAAAATAGTTTCATTTTTTCGCGCTTCTTGCGATGAGAGACCTACATGAACGCGTATGAAAATACTGAATTTTTTTATAACCAACCAAAGTTGTTTTCTAAAAAAGGATTACAACTATCATTCCAGAAAAACAATTTTAACAATTTGTTTCCCGAAAATTTTATAGAGATTTTTTATATTTTTGCCTCGCAGTTTAAAAAAAAAACAAAAACAAAGGAAGCGCTACCGAAAGCTTTCTAAACATTTGTTCTGAAGTAAAATTAAGTGTTTGATAACCTTAACCGAAAAGATTCTATTGTAAGATTTACACTTTTCAATGGCAGGAAAAATTTTAAAACTAATCTGTGAAATTTTAGAACACCTTTTTTTCTAATATCAAGCCAATGGCGTTGGGTAATTACTATTGGAGTTGAGCATGGAGATTCAAACGTTGGCAGGTCGCATGTAAACCTAATGTGTTTTTAAATTAATCTTAATTGCGTCTGTTTTTCGTAACAACTGTACGAAAAATTTTTCGTAACAACTGTTTTTCGTAACAACAATTGCGTCTGTTTTTCGTAACAACTGTTTTTCGTAACAACTGTGAACATTTTTGACGACCTTTTTTTAGGTTGATCAGATTGATTTTTTGAGCTCTCCCAAAGCAGTAAAAAGACCCTGTTTCGGCCAAATTTTCTGCGCCGCAGGCAGTTTTTGAAAAAACAGGTCAAAAAAGCCGTTTTTGGGCCCTTTTTGGAAAATTTTGACAAAAAAAAAACGCGTTTTTTTTTGGCGCGCGCTCCCCCTCAAAATTAGTATATATTGGCGCCAAAGGCGCCTTTAGAAAAATTTTAGGCTCGGTCGGGCAAAAATGGATCTCTTAAAAAGTACCAAAGGGGGGACCCTTTGGGTTGGCACGGGTTCGAATCCCTGAGGGGGGGGGGGGCGTCCGCTATTCCCCCGCCCCCCTAAATCCGCCCCTGGTTTTTAATAAAATTTCTCAACAAATAATGAAGTTGTTAACTGACAGTTTCAAATAAGTTTTGTACCAGAAGCATTAGATATAATTGAGCGCTGCATTGCAAAGCGATTACATCGTTTCTAAGTTTTTGACATGGCGTTTTGAAAACCAGCCTTGCTGACCAAAGAAAAATTTTTTATATCAATGGCCTAATTGACTTTAAGAGTACATTAATTCCGATTTATGAAAAGGTTCCTACGCGTGCAGACGGTGTATTTGACGCTCAGCTTCGATTCTTCGTTGCACCAATTCTGATTAACAAGTTCGAACTCGTATTTTGTCGCTGGTGACAGCTGAGACACATACAGGTTGTTCTCGCTCTTCTGAGGTGGATTCACATCATAAATCCCATTAGGAGTAACTGATTTGACCTTGAACCGGTACACGTAGCCCTCCACTGCTTTGACATCATAATGTCCGGTAATGCGAATTGAGTTGAAATATGCAGTGTTGGAAACAGTTGAGACATCGATTTCACGAGGAACTGAAAAAAACTCAACTATTGTCTAGCATTTGATCTAAAGAAATAATGTACACTTAAACAGGGGCGGATCTAGGATTTTCTCGAGAGGGGACGGATTCTTAAAACTTTTTCAAAAATATGGACGACCTTTTTTTAGGTCGACCAAAGTGATTTTCCGAGCTCTCCTAAAGCAGTAAAAAGACGCTGTTTTGGCCAAATTTTCTGAGCCGCAGGCAAATTTAAAAAAAAACAGGTCAAAAAGCCGTTTTTGACCACTTTTTGGAAAATTTTGTCCAAAAAAATGCGTTTTCTCGGCGCGCGCTCCATAAATAGCATATAATGGCGACAAGGCTCCTTTAGAAAAATTTTAGGGTCGATCGGCCACCTGGATTTCTTAAAAAAGTATGAAAGATGGTACCCTTTGGGTCGGCAGGGGGTCGAGTCTCTGAGGTGGGAAGGAATAATCCAGACCCCCGCCACCCCCCTAAATCCGTCCATGTATATATATATATACTATTAGATTTTGGCACCGAAGTCGCACTTAGAAAAAAATTGCTGCCGGAATTAGATGTCTTAAAACAGTACCAAAAAGGTAATTTTTGGTTCATCAGTGGATCAAACGAATCTCTGAGTAGGGGGAGGGCGCCGTGCGCCTTTCTCACTAAACCTTCTACTGCATTTGAACATTATTTGATTTCCAGAAAAAAGATTTCACGTTTTTTTTTGTTGTTTTCAGACCAAAATTTCATTTTGCTTCAAAAGTTTAACATAAAAAATTGTTACCATTTTGTGATAGGGAACCAACTAATCCTCAGCTCTTTTTTTTTTTTTTTACAACATAACTGACCCGGGTTGACCTCCATAGACCAAAAATGCTAATCATACAATTTCATACACTTAGTCTATGGAAAAATGCTAGTCATATAAATTTCATACATTTTTGCAAAATGAGTTTAATCAATTTTCAAAGGTGTTTTATAGTTGTTTTGGTATCGAAATTGGTATCTCTTCATAAAAAAAAAGAAAAAAAAATGGTATGAAAAAAATGCTACCCATACAATTTCCATATATGGAAATTGTATGATTAGAATTTTTTTTAAATTTTTTTTTGTGAAAAAAAAGCTTTGGACAATCAATTCAACTGCTGGCAAAACATTTAAGCGTTTTTTGAGCTGCTACGACTGAAAACTTTGATTTTTGTTTTTGTTTTCTGGAAAAAAACACTAGTCATACAATTTCCATATATGGAAATTAAATGACTAGCATTTTTTTGATGGCGACGACCAAAATTTTTGAAAGTATTTTTGAAATTGCCCCCGAAAACTTTTTGTGGTTTTTTTTAAACTGCAAATTGATTTTCGTATTCAAACAAACATTTTTTGAAAAAAAAAATTTTGCATGCAAAATTTAATTTTTTGTGTGTATAACGTAGTCCTGGATATACTAATATTGGATTTTTTTTCATTTTCTCTTCGTAACTTTTTTCAAAAACGCTTAAAAATCCTCTTTCTTTTGTATGACATGTTTTTGTATGCCTTGATCAATGTCTGGTAATTTAAACATTCAAATTTTAGAAATAATCATCTTAGAAAATTTTTGCCAAAATTTAAAAGTTCACTACTTTCGTTCTGTTAATTGTCTGAGACAGAAGTAACACATATCAGGCTGTTTCCAATGCATTGTTAATGCGAGACGGCCAAACCGTTGACTACTACGTTTGAGTAATCAAGGTTCATGTCATTTGTGTTCGGTTACAAACACAGCCAAAAAATATTGAGAAATTAAAATGTAAAAAATCAATATTTTTGGTTTATGGAAAAATGCTAGTTATACAATTTCCATATATGAAAAAAATACTAATCATAGACCTTTCATGCAATTTTCTGTACGTATGGAATTGCATGGAAAGTGTATGACTAGCATTTTTCCATATATGGAAATTGTATGACTAGTATTTTTGGTCATCCCGGGGAGACATAAGCTTTTCCTCCAGTAAGTCTGACTACATCCATATTAAGTACTTCTATGAATCAAAGAGATAAAAGTTGAATTCTTGCTGCGTCTTTTGCGACAGAAATCAAAAGTACACATGCCCGGTTCGAGATTTTTGATTTATGTTTCGACTTTCTTGGCTTAAAATGGGTATATTTCAACCATCTCGATCAAACTTCCCCTTGTTGGCCAAAAATCGCTATCTTAGAATTTTCCTTATAAGAATGTTATAACTTCTTACAAGCTTTTACAAAATTAGGCTGTAAGAATGTTGTTACAAGATATGGAATTTTTAAAGGAAAATTGTAAATTAGTGAGTTTTCTCACTTTTCCTACAAAAGACTTTCAAGTTTTTTTCTTTAGTTTTTTTTGAAAACTTTTTTTAAAGCCAGTTTTAAAATTCTCTATTTACTCAGAGTTCAATTACGGAAACTCGTGGACCAAAGAAGTTGTTTCGGCACTTGAGCTTACTGAAAAACCCATTAGTTCAGAACTTGTTTTTTGTTTATAACTACAACTTTTTTCAATTTATACCTGAACCCGACAAACAGCATGTCCGCAGCTTTATGACATTATTATCAAAAACAATTTTAATGTGCTAAACACATAGCTAATTAAGATTCAAACCGCTAACTAGAATATTAATTGGTGAGATTTTCCTCAGTTGGGTTAGGGAAAACAGAACTGTAAAAATTGAATA